TTTTTTAAATTGCAGAGTAGAAGGTCCCCTTAACATACGTAAATACTTACACAAGTATTGCAGTACACATGACATTATTATTTTATAAAAGCGTTAAAATAAAATTATCATTTAAACGAATATATATCTATTCAAATTCTTAACAATATTTATTATAACCAAATTGTACGAATTTAGTCATCCGATAGATGCGATTTTAGTATTATCTGTTCGTTAAACTTTAAAGGGGATGATTCCATTTGTTCTCGAACCGTATTCTCTATATTTCGAAAGTGGGGGAAAAAAGTGAAAGCATCTCGATTTTCCACCAACGTTTTGTACGCTTAATGTTTATCAGAGTATATTTGCATATATGTACTATGATAAATTCTTGTACGTAATACGATAAGAATTTTAATATTACGTGTATATATATATATATTGAACTTACTTAGATCGCAAATTTAAAATGATGTTTGTACAAGGCGAATTTGTAATAAATGTAGATTAATTTTGATCGATAAATTAAGTGGCAATATGCTCGCGGATATCGCCACTAGACCACGAAGCAAAATTAATCCAACCACATTCGAGCAATGTGTTCAATACTGAGTACGTAATCGTGGGATAATGCATGCTGTGGTACAGGGTAGTAGTATAGAGATAAGTAGTATGGTGTAAATTCTATCCAATCGAATTTTGATGCTCAATAGAGCTTTAACATCGTTAACCGTACATTTACGTACAAAAATATTATATAATAAATCTTTGACGTTTAAAAAGAAAATATTGTCTTCAGAGAAAATATTTCTTTCATTCTTTCTTACATTCCTTTCTTTCTTTCTTACAGACCTATTGRCTTTCTCGTTGGTATCCAAGTATAGCGGAAGTTGTGCGGAAAATGTTACAGTGAGTACTAATTACGTTAACTTACGTGCAACCAAATTGTTGTTGTTTAAAAGTCTTTTAAAGAAACTGAAAAAAGAAAATAAAATAAAAAAAAAAAACAGCAGTAAATAATAGTACGATTATACGGAACAAGTTCTTAGTATTACTCTCACTTTTCATAATTGCCCTTATATACTAAATACGTTTAGTCAAAGTTTTACATAGGTTTTTGCAAGTACCTACTTAACTTGCACGCATACGGGGTAAGGGTAGTAGTGGGAAGTTAAAAAAAAAAAAAAAAAAGAGAAAAAGAAAAGAACTTTTTTAATATACCGCACACACATAATGATATATTATTAAGGGATATTCTTTGAGGCATACATCACGGGTCGTAGAATTTTCACGACGGCTCGGCGGCAATGGCAGCCAGAGCCCTTTTACTCGAAGCCGCCGACTTTAGCAAGCTCTTTTAATGCCGCACCGTAGCACATTATTCAGACGGCGATGTAAAGTAGAGGAACACGTGTAAAGGTCGGCCTTTAAAACGCCTAACCGAGACCTGCCAACCTTCCTTCGCCTGCGTATATACGCAGGTAAGTATCAGCTAGTGCTAGCTAGCAGCAACAAGTATACGTGCGCATATCGCATATATCACGAGTTTAAGTACCGAGCATGGCACTTTCGACCTTGAGAACTTGAACCACCCGATTGTGATTTCGGTACAACTGCCAAAGAAGAAATTTTATTCCTTCTTGTGATCTTCTTTTACGGTAATTTTCTCATTGTCCTATTGAATATATTGTTTCTTTTTTTTTTTTTGTAATATTTTTGTTCTAAAAAAGAAAAGAACGAAAAATTGATAATATTTGTAATGTTAAAATATTGTTTTTTTTAAATAAATCGTTCAATTTTTTTTTTACAATATGACTGATGATTGAAGATCGACAAAATATGAAACGTATCGAATCAAACAATTGGTTAATAATATTAAAAATTCATTTTTACTGCATTTAAACAAAATGCAAATAAATTAATATACGCGCGTATCAATGCGAATACGAGAATTTCATTTGAATGCACGAACGATATAAATGTTCTCGTATTATCCGATGAATAAACAAGAAAGAAAAAGTTTTATTATTGCTACTCTGTCATCGTTAATAACATTATTTGAAATGAAAACAAACAGATGGATTTGTTGCATAAACGTTTCATTTTTAAGGCATACAACTCTTATTCCTTTTGATATTACGTATAATAAATAAATATTACTTATTTACGTTGAATAAACAAACACATTAAAAATGAACATCAAAAAACACAAAGGGAACATTCGATATATGCATATATACATGTAGCAAATAAAGTTATTGCCATTTATGTACGTACACCAATATTAATATATTTTAATGGAAATATATTGCGCGTATGTGTTAAATTGTAATAACAACATTCAACGAAATATCATATAGAGCTGGTAGATAATCATGAAAAAGATAAATAATATTCAAGTTTCGTTTCGATCGTTTAAAAAATTACTATGAAAAAATAAAATCGATATTAATCCCGATTTAAACGATAATTCTCAATAACAACCCTTGTAGAATTGTTCTTTTTTTTTCCAACAAAGTTTTGTTTCGTACATTTTTCAATAACAAAAAATAAAAGAAAATAATTGAGAATTTTTGTTCAAGAAGAAGAAGAAGAAGAAAAAAAACAAATAGAAATATAAAAAATGGTTGACATTCGAGCAGCGGGGAAGGAGCGGGGGTCGAGGAGTCATTTCAACGAGACGCGAGAAAGTACAACGAGTTTCGGAGAATATTTTATTTAAAATGCCTTTGACGGGAAAGCAAGTAAACGAGAAAAGAGAAGACGAGACGAAGAAGCAACAGCGTTTTGCTCCTTTTCGATTCAGCCCACGATATGTTCGCTGATTTAACGACGTCCGTGGGAGCCATTGTGCGTGCTCGCTTCTTCTTCTTCTTCTTCTTCTTCTCCTTCTTCTTCTTCTTCTTCTTCTTCTTCTACTACTTCTTCTTCAGCTTCTACTTTTCCTTCGTCCTTTAAATCCCCGATCGTTATTCATCGTGTATTCGAAAGAAAAAGAAAGAGAGAAGAAAGAAAGTCTTTTTAAATCCAAGAATAAAGACGATAAGATGAAAGAAGGTTTATGTATTTTTAATAAACATCCATTGTCGCTTTCTTAATAATTTTCTGAATTTCTGACAACGAGTTTGGTATATTTAAACGTACAAGTTTCTACAGAGTAGTAGTACGAGTTTGACGTTCAAATATCTCGAAAATTGTTCCTTTGTGAATATACAGAGTGGTGTATCCAGACGGTTGATACAAACGGACCCAGAGGTTTGGTTATGACGTGCACAAATAATTCCAAACTGAAGAGTAGTAACCTGTTATTTTCGTGTGAGACTTCGTTTTCAAGATAATCGACCATTTTGTCTATAGATTCAATATTTTCAAAACTTGAAATAAAGTTAATTGAAAACAACAAAATCTATATTTATAGATGCATCTAGAAAATGTTTTCAATTTATAAACGATGATTGGACAATGTATGAGAGTACTTACCGCAATGAAAGGTAATACAGGAATGAAAGGAAAAAACTAAAATGGATAGAAAGAAATTAAAAAGGAAGAGAGAGAGAGATAAAGGAAGAATAYGAATAAATGAATCGTTCGTTTCGTAAGGTAGATGATAGATGTTCAAAGGGTGGAAAAGAAACCTATGAGAAAAATAGAGAGAGATAGAGGAATGGCATAGAGGAGGGACAGATATAAGCGAAAGGGGACAGAAGTGTGTAAGCGTGTGTAAGAGAAGGAAAGAGATAGAGAGTGAGTGAGAGAGAGAGAGAGAGAGAGAGATAAAGATATGGAGCAATAGGCGAATAAAAGCTACGTCGAGCAGATGGCTGGTATGGCCATTAGCTAATGGATCCCTAACACCAGTCCACAAGAGTCATCCGCCACCACGAGGTACAAACTGGGAGGTAGTTACATCCACGAAACGCTGTTCCTACTACACCCTTTCACTACCTTCCAGAAGTGGGGTGGAAGGAGGGATAGTGGGAGATCGAAAGGGGAGGGTGGGGAGGGGTTTGAGAGCTGTTTGGTCTGCATAAAGCCGGCAAAATCACGCGGATAGCAATCGTGCTAAATCACAAACCGACTATGCTACCACGCTTTTCCGTCCACAGCATCCGAGCTTCTATCACTTTCTGTCTATCTGTTTGTCTGTCTCTCTCTCTCTCTCTCTCTCTCTCTTTCTTTCTCTTTCTCCCACTCTATTTTTTACTCTTTCCAACTCGTATATTTTTACATGTACGCTCGTTTTTACATTGCTCTTTTCGTGATCGAGCACAGGTGTGTATCGTACGTTCGATTTCAAATGATTTCCAATCACTTAACTCGAGTCTTTTATAGAGAAAAAAAAAAAAAGAATAAAGGGGAAAGTATAAAAAGAGGAGAAGAAAGAGATAGAGCTACTTAAGTGAGAGAGAGGAACCAATTCTCACCGTTTGTTAGGATAAAACGTGAATTCGTTCGTTATTTTTTCTTTTATTCTTTTTTTTTTTTTTTTACTCTCGACGTGAAAAATATCGGCATTTAAAAATTTAAAAGGCATGTTCGATTCGAATGGATAATAAATCGATTGAAATATAATACTTATTTATGTATTATGATTTACTGTACTTTGTTATACTAATAGGTGGTAATTTACTGAATTTTTCCTTGTTTTTTCTTTTCTTCTTGTTTTTCTTTTTCTTTTTGATTCATTTATTCAACAGTAATAATCGTAGAAAAAAATGACTAACTTATTAACACTTGCAGTAAAGTTCAACTAGTATCGGTAACACGTTAAAGTTATTATTAGTGTCTACTATTAGCATCTACCGGTTGGTAGAACCAATATTATTATATAGAGAACGAAGTTAACAGAACACGAAGCACACAAGCCGGTAGATTCGATCAAATCTACTGGATTACCGAGATAATACATTTTTGCAATCGCTTATCGTGTTTGTAATTAATGGTGGTAGAAAATAATTAGTTTAATCCCCGGTTTACCCTAAGCACGCTTCCGCAATAGCTAAGAACTTAATACCCAAACGCAAAATACTAATTGTATAAAGCAAATTTATGTACTCCAGTATCGGATGTAGATATTAACGTGTATCAAATAACGTGTATTACCGAAGGTACATTAAAAGAGATTACCAGAGTGCTTATAACAACGAAAATAAATTTTCCTTTAGCCAGTGATAACGACTGAAATTTGTATAATATCCATTATTTCCATCGTAAACACTAGAAAATTTTCTTTATCAACGAGCTAAATACTACAAGCCGATACGAGTCCTCCTCCTTCTCCTCCTCCTCCTCCTCTTCCTTCCCACCCACCCTCCGCGTAAACTTTGAAAGATAATTAGGATACTTTGATGTCCTTTCTTAAGTATACTCGTTAACTGTTTCTAACAATAAATTCTGAAACTCGTTAAAATTTAATGAATCGCATTGAATGCGTGGCAAAGCTTACGGATTACAATACAAGAAGAAAATGAAAGAATATGAACAAACATACAAAAAAATGCATAAAAAAGAGGAATATGAAAGGCAAAGAAAAAAATCAAAAGGATCTAACTGGACTGACAGAACAATGTTACACACGTGCGTCTGGTTTATATACGTGCATGCACGAGACCGGAAGAGGGTGCTCAGTAATTTCGATGTACCCCCAATTACCTAAAATAACTCGATGTAAATCTCTCCCTCTCCTTCTCTCTCTCTCTCTCTCTCTCTCTCTCGATTCTTCTCTCTATAATTAGCGTAGCGATCGGATCGTGTAGTCGTCGATGCGTGACTTCGGTATCACTTTCCAATTTGTGACGGTATAAACGGCGAGTAACGAGAGTCGTCGTTACGATCATCGATCAGGCGTAGAACATCGGGACGTGACGAGTGAACACGTTAATTGAACCTTTCGAATACGACTTTGTAAT